AGAACGATCCTATAAACCACATTATTCCTATCAGAATAGTGGTTAAAAATTTAAGTAAAATTCATACTTTGCAATATTTGTTGGTATAAAATAAAACTAGGGAATAACTTTCAGAAATTCGGATAACTAGGGTGACCAACTCAAAAAATATAACAAGTGCAAAAACGACTATTTCTGTAAAAATTTTAATCAAATATCCTGCAACAACACCGGTCAGACTTTCTTTGTTAAAAATACTATGCAAAATGTATATGCGGTTCCAAAAAAATCATTTTTAATTGACTAAATCTTGATTAAACTTTAATTTTATTTGAGGGTCCTCAATTATTTATAAATGGCCTATCTTTTTATTTTAAATTACAATCTAACTTCGATGACAACAGATGACAAACTTATTATTGATGCCATAAAAAAATATGTTAAAATTACTGATGAGCAAAAGATTGAAAATGTTTTGACATTTGATACTGATAGTGTCCTGATCCTAAAAAATGGTCTTAGCCTTGACTGTAGCAACTTTGTGGTTTTTTAGAGCCGGGAAAATTCCTAAAAAAGGTCTCAACATTTTCTTATTTAAATAAAACAGTGTAAAATATTTAGTTTATTAATAGTAACTAGTCAGAGTTAAGAGTCAACAAACTATCAATCAATCAATCAATCAAACTTTATTGAATCTCTATCAACAAAAATGCTGTTTTACATAGAAATCAGTTATAAAAATATAATTTAAAATTAATTCTAAAAATTGTATAAAAATTATTTATCATTAGTTATTCAGAATATAATTGTTTGTGTCTTTGAGTCTTGCTTTAAAATTCTTAATCGTATTCTCAGTCCTAATGTCGAGTGGAATAGAGTTCCAGAGTTTGATTCCTTTGCAAAAAATGGTATTCATTAGGAAATTCTTCGAAGTCTTTGGTTCGATGACAGAGAGTCTGTCTCTTCCGGTCCGACCACTTGTTCTGTTGGTGTTTATGATAAACAGGTCTCTCGAGTGTTGGGAATTCAGTCCATTTAAACATTTAAATATATATATAAGGGATTCGTGTTTAATAGCATTTCCTATTGATAGCCAATTTAATTGTGTAAATAGTGGACAACTATTTGCAAGATATGGAGACTTAGTTATCGTACGGGCGAATCGTTTTTGAATTTTCAATAACTTATCGATATGTGTTTGATAGGTGTGTCCCCACAATTGACACCCATATTCTAGTTTAGGTTTAATTATAGATTTATAGACAAAATTTGTGGTGTTTTCGGGTAGAAATTTACGCAAATTTCGTATTAGAAATAACCGAGAGTTAAGTTGTTTCGAAATATTGTCTATATGTTTGTCAAATTTAAGATTATTGTCTAAATAAATACCAAGTATTTTGGTCTCATTTACTCTAATTAATGGTATATTATTAATAACAGGCTTGATATGAGTTATAGAGCTCTCCCGAGGGCTGCCCATAATCATATAATTTGACTTTTTATGATTTAATACTAATCTATTATTTTTTAACCATTTATTTATCGTATTTAAATCGCTTTCAATGTATGCCTGAAGTTCACTATAATTCCTAGCTGTGATACAGAGAGACATATCGTCGGCGAATAAATACAATTTACCATTAAGTTTAAGGTTAAAAATGTCATTCATATAAATTATAAATAGGAGGGGGGCCATGCACCCACCTTGGGGCACAGATAGGTCAATTGTCTTGGGATTTGAAATAATGTTATTGTACTTAACAATTGAATATCTGTCCGAAAAGTATGATTCAAACCATTGAATTGTGTTTTCATCACAAAAGCGTTTCATTTTTCGCAATAGTATTCTTTGATTCACGCAATCAAACGCTTTCTTTAGGTCAAAAGTAATTAATACAGACTTTTTATTAGTGTTCAATGCATTGGATATGTTGTATATTATGGCCATAAGTGCATCGATTGTCGAGTTTTGTGCCTTAAAACCAAATTGAAATTCCGACAGGAATTTACACTTTTCCAGGAATTCCCGTAAAGTTGTTTCGATATGTTTTTCAAATATTTTTGCAAAAATCGGTAATAAAGCGATTGGTCTGAAGTTGTTTGGGTCGTCATATGATCCAGTCTTATGGATGGCAATAGTTTTCGCAATTTTCCAACTAATTGGACATATATTAGTCTCAATTGATTTGTTGATTATAGTTATTATGTGTAGAATTAGACTGAATTTAAATAGTTTGATAAATCGCATAGAAATTCCATCACTTCCGGCACTTTTCTTGAGTGGAAAGTTGTTTACTGTTTTGATGACAAAGTTTTCACTGACTTTTGGTATTGAATATAGGTTTGAGGTTTCGATAGTTTCGGACGAAATGTTTTGATCATAATTGCCATAAATTGAGTCGACTATACGTTTTGGTTCTTCAGTAAAAAAGTCGTTCAATTCATTTGAATTCAATTTGTTTGACAATTGACTTGTATTTCCTTTTTGTGTTGATTTCGTCGGAACAATATTTTTCAATATTTTCCACAATTTTGTCGTATTTTTGCCACAATTCATGACTTCTTGAGTGAAATATTGGCTTTTCTTGCGTTTAATTAAAATATTCGTTGAGTTTTTTGCAATAATGTATTCATTTCTAAACACTTCATATAATTCTGTATTTTTTGATTCAATCATTTGTTTATGAATTTTGTGTTTTATTGCAATTTTGTTGAGGGCTTCGGAGTCAACCCATTTCGGCAAACATTCGCTTTTTATTAATTTGGATTTCATTGGGATTTCTTTGACAATAATATTATGTATTGATTTCGTAAATTCATAGCATATTTCGTGAACATTATTGCCTAATATTTGAATGTTTTGCAGTTTTTCTTTCACTTGATTAACGTCTAGTTTTTTCCAATTTTGATATTTTAGTAGTTTTGATGAGTTTGTATTAATTGGTTTGTAATTGATTTTTCTGCCAATAAATGTCATTAAATGATCAGAAAAACTCAGGCGAAGTACTCCAGAGTTTGAGATGTTTTCACTTTTGTTGCAATAGATGTGATCAATAAGTGTCTCACTTTTTGAGGCGATTCTTGTGTTTTCAGTAATCATTTGACGTAAACCACAATCCATTGTATTTTTTATCCATGTCTTCGACACCTCTTTTTTGTAGTCGATATTAAAGTCTCCGATAATTAATATTTCTTCTGTTAATAGATTTTCAATTTCATTGAGAAAATTGTTTTTAAATTCAATTACATTTTTAGGCGAAACATAAACACATAATATGTAAAAATATTTTGCATTTTTATGACACATTTTGAGTAAAATGTTTTCATTTGTTATTTTTGTGTCAATTTTTTCGGGGATGAAGTGTATAGTTGTGGACACGTATACTATCACACCTCCACACCTCACACCACCATTTCTATCACATCTGTAGTGATTATAACCAGGGATTGTCACCAACAGGTCATCAATGTCTTGGTTGAGCCACGACTCTGTTATGCAGAGCACATGTGGTTTAATGATTGCACACAATGTCTTGATTTGATCCATTTTATGGACAATACTTCTGGCATTCATATGCAATATTTTGATACCTTTAGTATTGTTGAATATGTCATAACACTTATAAATATCACTGATTAATAAATCACTATTTAAATCACAATTTAAATTTGTACTTATAGTAGGCGTTGCACACATGGCAGCCATTGATCAATATACAACGCAGCGACAATATACAACTAACCCTCTCATTTTTCTTTTTGACCTTAACCCTGGTTCAATTTTGAGTATGACCTAGGGTTGTGTTAACGACGTAAACGTACAATTAAATTACAGTATTAATACATGTTTGGGTGACTGATATTAACAAAATCTTGTGTTCAAATCGATATCTGTTTAACAGATTCTGTTATAATTGAAGTCAGTCTGTAATACAGTCTGTATTTACCGGTCAAGTGATGTACGCATGCGTTGTCTCAAGTGATCACAAACTGGTGTTTGTGTTTGAATTGAAGTTTGAATTGAATTCAATCATTGATTGCTTCAGACATGAGTCGAGTGTCCAGTGATTGTCAACACGTGTTGTCAGCGCTCAAGAGCTCATCCAAAGGACGGCTCACTTATGACAGACACTGGAAAGACGAGCGCAGGACTCAAGTAAGTCATTGTCTTCCTCTTTACCACTCATTCATTAATGCATTAATCCTTTGATTGATTTAATAGGAGATCATAAACGAAGTGAAGACCAACACCTCTGCCATCACTATATCTCCCAAATGTGTGTCCAATGAGAGCATCAATAAAAGCAAGAGTTGTCCCAAATATAAGGTGATTGAGAGCTCAACAAAGCATACAATCATTGATGAGAAGTGCAATGAAAGTGATGTGAATGAGAGCTCACACCACAACCCGACCCACAGAAGCCATGAAGTGATGAATGGATTGGATTTAGTTGTTTATGAGAAACAAAGACAGGAATCTGTTTGCGAAGAACTCAATAAAAAGATGAAAAGTCTTGAAATAGAGTTCACAAAATGTAACCAAGAGTTTGACGAAGAGTATCGACTCATTCGCCAGAAGTATGCTTTGGATGCCATTAAACGGATCAATGGTTTTGAAGATGATTACAAAGCGCTGAAAGACAGCATTTCCTACAATGAGATGCATTTGGAGGACAACTCACTGACCAGTTGTTGCAAAATGAAAGAAATTGAAAGCAAACACCAGTTATTAGTCGAAGAACAACAACGAAAACAATTGCATTTCAGACAAAAACAAGTGTTGATTATTAAGAATGAAATGCATTTAATCGTTAAAAGTGTTGAACACTTGTCCAACAATTGGGAATCTCTTATCAAAAGTGATCAATACTTTCACACTCTTAAACATGATTTAAACCAAATGAATGGTTGGCTTCAAAGTCTTGATATTTTGCTAACAAAACAAGATTTGACTGATTTTGACATAAATAGCGCTCAGAATCTGAAATCAGAAGTCATTAACATTAAAGAGAGATTAGTTGCAGATATTGAGAGATTAAAACAAAGTACTGCTAATGAAAGACAAATGAGCGGAACAGCTACTGAAGAACAGCCTTTATTTGTTGAAACAACTCATTGTTCAGTCTCTTCAGGCATCACTTCAAATCAGTCAAACTCGATGTCCGATTGTGTCGACAATAAGGCGTTTAAAGATTATCTAAATTTGCAAAAGTTTTCTAATGATTTTGAGAACTCATTTCAGAGTTTTGTTTCCGAAACCAAATTTAAGCAAAAGAGAAATGATTTGCAGTTATTTGTGAAGACGACTATCAATACGATATCGTGTGAATCGGTTGAACACATTAGAGACAAATTGAATCGTTTGACACAATTATTGAGTGAGAAGAATGTCGAATACGGAGCAAAACAAATGAAATGTTGTGCAAATGACGGCTCTCTTAATTTCTGCATTAGTCTAACCTCTAAAATGTTTGTCGTAAGTCTTATTCAACGTTTACCATAAGATCCATATTAATAGTTATTTGTTTGCAAAGAGTGTCTGCACTAAACAGAAAGACATCGCACTAACAATGGCTCCAATTGTTGTACTTTTATGGCAACGGTTTCCCACATTTGGAAAGATATTTATGGCCCAA